GCACGCTGCAATTACACCACCCCTCGGGCATTCTTCTTGCATCTTAATCCATCCATCTCCCGTCTCGGGCCCCGCGTATATCCGCTGCTTCTTGTCAGACGTGTAGACTGCTGCCGGTTTCACCACAAAGCCGTCTCTGTTCGCGTTGTCCGAATACATCGCCACCAATGCTTCGACTATGGAGGTTACGTGCACAGTAACTTTCATGCCGTTGCTCAACTCCACCTCGACAGCTCTCCATTCCACCGTGCCCGTAGCCTCCGCCAGTAAAGACTTTTCGTACTTCACCAAGCCAGCACTGTTCTTGTATGATGGCTTCATGTAACCGGCCTCGTGCAAAACGCTCAGTAGAGTATTAATGTCAGTTGCCGACATCCCCATGCCTCCATTAAAACCCCGAATCGCCTTCGCCAAAGCCAGGTCTGTGTCAAATGGGAGCTTCTGTGGACTAAGATCTGCCGTTGCATCCGTTGTTGAGAATTCTATGTCATCACCGTCGCCGTCGCTGTCATCCGACGTCGGAAAGTCAAACGGGGGAGGGTTCACACTGGTTTGTGCAGATGGTGCTCCGCTAGTGGTCAAAGGCGGTCTTGCTGCGGCACGCGGAGCAACTCGTGCACGCAGCAGCCGGTTCACGTCATTAGCTCGTTTGCGCTTCAAACCCTCTAGAATCCGTACATTTGCACTCTTTGACGCAGTTGGGCGCTTTCTACAAAATAGTTTGTGATTAATCAAGCCCTGTCCAGTAGTGCAGGTGAATCCACAGGCACATGTAAACTCCATTATCAATTATAGGGATACAATGATCTATTGCACCCTGTGGTGCAAGCTTGGAGAAGAACTAAAATAGTGAAGAATAACAAGCAAGGTCTAACATATATGCAATGTCTTCAACAGCATCCCCTGGACCTGCATGCAAAGACCACAGAGCACAAACGGTCAGGGCCCTCAGTGGCAAGAGGGGGCAAATCTGTGGCTCTAAAACGAACATGGCAAAAAAAAAGCCAAAAAAACACTAAAAACAGTACTGACCCCACTAGTCCCTCAAGCCGCGGCACTTTCGCGCAATATACCACGCGTCGGCACGCGGCGCATCCGATGGTACGGCGACGAAGTCACTATTTCTGTCGGGCCGACCCTAAAACTAATGTAGAAACCAAAACGGCGAAACCCTCGCGGCCCGTGGATCTGCAACAGCGGGACGCAAGTGTGAAATTGTACGCCTTGTCGGCACGCCGCGCATGCACTGGTGTGTCGTCGAAGTCGCGTTTCGGGCTATGGCGTCCCTAAAATTAGTACATCCAAAAAATTGAGCTCGGGTCGCGCCCTACGATCTACCCTAAGCTGGACGAGCACCCGTCTGGCATGCGGTACGAGGCAAAGAATGGATGGCGAGGCGTCGTTTCCTTTAAAAAAAAAACCGCCGAACTCGGGTAAAACGGGCGGTTCCAGCGAGTTAGCGGGTTCCAGGGAGGCGCCATGGCGGGCTACTTATTTACCACCTCTACGATAATAATGTGCACTTCGAGTGAGGAGGGAAATGGAGGGGTTGGAGGGGAACGGCCGCATGATGCAGGCACCGATAAAAAGTGCGCAAAAACGTTCTCAACCGTGTTCCACACCCTTCGCCCCTAACTGCCACGGCGACAAAGCAATAAGTTACGTGCCGTATTGGCACGTAACAAGGTGTGCGACTCCGTCAACATTCTGGTCCAGCTGGATTTTTCGCGCGCTGAAAATGAGCCGTCGAAGGGCTTATTTACCTGGTTATTGCTACGGTCATTCGCCAACGGTAAGTGTTCTGGTAAGCGTAGGCGTACGCGTCTACATTTCTTCATGGGAATGAGACAATGTGATTATGCAAAATTACAAGCGATTCGCATACATTGACGTGTTCATATTCAGTCTTCACCATTTTTTTTACAATATTAGTTCAGCGCGGAGTTCTATACACCACCGCACCGAATTTCACCGAGCGGTGTTCATCGACCCAACGGGATGAGTTTTGCACCAATTGCCCGCTAACTGCTCCGTGACTGCACGAATCGAAAATAGGGTAACTGCGGGAGATCGCAGGCAGCTCGGAAACAGAGGGCAATTAGAAAAAAACACCGCAAGCAAACTGCGGGGATGCGATATCGCCAAGCTTACCGCCGGCTGTTTCCCAGCGAACACCTGCAGAGTTGCGATGTAGAGTCGAGTAGATGACGCAGCCCATGGCACCAGTGCGATTCAGCGGGGAGCGCGAATGGCGCGGATGGTGGAAGCGGAAGCGAATGAGGAGGGGGAGCGGTTATTGGCGGAGAGATGGCAGGCGGCGGAGGGTGCCGCGGGGAAGAATGGAGGAGTTGGGGGGAGGGGAGACGTGTATTGGCGACGAAGCAGTATCGCGGATGCGCATCAGTGGAATGACGAGAAGAGAGACGGACGACCTTTTGGAAAACGGAGCTTATAACAAGACAGGCAATATCGAGTACGGGGACGGGCAGGATTGTGAGGGGAAGGAGAAGCATTGTGCGGATAAGGGAGAAGACATCGCCAGCTGCAGGCGCAGATAAGGGCATGCCACGTGGCGTTTGTCGTTGCTGCTGTGGGCGTGCATCCCAATGTTAGTGCTTCTTTTGCATCTACTGCCCCTCCGACCCGCCCCTCCCTCTGCCCCTTCCCCATCCCTGCTCCTCCCCACTGCCCCTTCCCACTCCCTGCCCCTACCTCCTGCCTTTTCTCCTCCCCTGGCCCTTTTCCTGTCCTTTCCTCATGTCAGCTTCCCCTTTCCCCTCCCCTTGGCCCCGCACCTTGTCCCTTTCCTCTGCCCCTCCACCCCCCTTTTCCCCCGTTTCTTTACCCTTGCTCTTCCCCTGCCCCCCTTTGCCCCTCCGCTTTACCCCTCCCTTTTGCCCCTACCTTTTGCCCCTTCCCTTTGCCCCTCCCACTCTGCCTCTCCCTTCTGTCCCTCCCACATGCCACTTCTCATTTCCCCGTCCCCCTGTCCCCCCCCTTACCCACCGTTTGCCCCTTCCCATTGCACCTTTCCTTTGCCCTTTTGCCCTCCCCCCGCCTCCCTGCGCCTCAACATGCGCCCCTCCCGCTGCTCCTTTCCCCTGCCCCTCCCTTGCTTCTTACCCTGACCCTTTCCCCTTACCCCGTCCCCCTGCCCCTCAACCTGCGCCGCTCCCCCCTGTTCCCTTTCCCCCCAAATACCCTGGCGTGCTGCCTCTGAACCGTCTGTCTGCGTTAAGAGCATCCCCTTTACAGGTGGGCTTCCTCTCGTCCACATACGGCACTATGCAACTCCTTACCCAGCCATGCTTCGTGTCATGGTGAGAGCAGGGAGAAAGAGGGATGGGGGAGTGGGGAAAGGGGGGGGGAGAAGAGAGGGGGTGGGGGTGGGGGAGGGGTGAGGTGGAGGGGAGGAATCTTTCCCGCTAGGGCAGAGCACCGGAGTACATGTCGGGAGAGGTGCGGAGCACCGGAGTACCGGATGTGGGGGGATCTTCCTGCTGCTCGAAGCGCCTCAATCGCTGTGTGCTCATGTCTAGGGCGGTGCACCAGTATACCGGTGAGAGAAACACGATGCTGCAGATGGCGAATAAGTAGTAACTGCAACCAATTGCTCCCGAGTTGACTTACATCAGAACATAATTTAATATCTCCGTGCTGTGTGCATGCCTCACTCTTGATTTGGTACATGCACACATGACCTCTACCCTTACGTTTCCCTTTGCAAGACAGAATAGGTGAGGTTGGGGAATGGTGATCCTGATTCGATGGGGTTGGATAGGCATGTGGGAGGTTGGGGCATGGGCATGGGCATGGGCATGGGCATGCGAATGGGTAGGGTCATGGCAATGAAGAGCACAGAGTGGACTCAGATGGCAGAAGCAGAGCCACTGCTGTGCGGGTGACTGAGAGGACTCAGATGGCAATCGTTCAGCCACTGGTGTGTGTACCATATGTTACAGGTTACTTCATATCACATACCACCGCCACAAACCCTCGCCGTTTCCCTTCTTGGCTGGTTTTCATTTTCCCCTTCCATTCTGCATTCTGTCATTGCCCCTTACCATGCTCCCATTCCCTCTTCACCCACGCTCCTCACCCCCATCCTTCCCCCCCCTCCCCATCCCCCCCAACCCCCCCACCTCTCCCCTCCTAAAACTGGGCGTGCACTAAGGCCTTGCTGCCTCCCCATCTTCCATTTATCAACTTCGCTCCAACAGGGTGGCAACTGATTAAGCTAGAGGATTATTGGTCTCATGTCTGCTTTTGTTCCTCTCATAAACTTTACAAACACTAGGTGATATGCAGGTCACAAGCGGTCAGTCAACGATAACAGGTGGTATTGTGTGGATTAGACGTGAAGCACTAGTACGCTGGGCAGGTACAGAACAGAGCAAGGGAAACGGCCCTTGTTATAAGCTGATTTTGAAGCATTGCAGGTGTTCAACAAATCCTGTAGATGCAGATTCAACCGCACGAGGAACATTCTCACCAATCATTTCAAGAAAGAAAAAAACTATAATTACATAACGAATGTTACTATAAGCTCTGTATTCTGCACTGCACCTGCCAATGTGCAGGAAAGTTGTTGCAGCTGCCCTTTCGCGCTGAATTGACGCGCTTTTCTCTGTGCGATTTGCCTTCAGATCGCGCTGACTCACGCGTTTGAATCCCGTCGCACATTTTCAACTCTCGGTTGGTGTATGTACACCTCGAGCCTCCACAGCTGGTCTGGATATTTCCGAACCTCACATATCGCTTGGCAATTTTCACACACAAGCCTCAGCCTCAAACCCAGCTGCTTTGACTCGCGTCAACCTCCCAAAACCAGACTGTTGGTTTTGACTATCCTATAAGTAGCCATTGACTCTCCTACCATTTCACCCACCAACAGCTTCCATTTCACGCTCCACTTTCTTCAGTCAAGCTCCCTAGTCAGTGCGACCCATACACCAGGAAAACTTTCACTTCGTAGATCACAGCTCGATACAGATCCAGCCATGGCGGCAGTCAGAGCGTTAGTCCTAGCGTGCGTGCTCCTCCTCGTGTCGACGTCCGCCTTGGCGCAGCGTGGTCCGCCTGGCGGAGGTCCTCCCGGCGGTCAGCGCGGAGGCCCTGGCGCCGGTTCTGGCGGACCCGGCGGTCCCGGCGGTCGCGACGGCCCCGGCGGGCCTGGCGGGCCTGGCGGGCCGCGGGGTCCTCCGCTGAACCTGACGGCCGTCGGGAATCTGACGGCCGGTGTTGGCGCGCAGCTCGCCAACTGCACGACGGATCAGACGGCCGGTGTTGGCAGCTTCCACCTCGCCATCTTCAAGTAGGCAACGCTGCCTTTTTTGCGTCGCCTAGCATCGCGAGAAAACCCTAATTCAGTAGTGTGCCTTCCCTTTTCCGTTTCAAGTCGCTAGTCGGAGTTACTTCTACCATCCGCTTCCGCACGCATCCTCTCGCTTTGGGTTCACGGTCTACACAGAGTCTTCTCCGTATACTGTGCGTCTTCTCAGCTTCTAATTCGTCGAGCTCATTGCTTCTCCCCTCGTCCCGTCCCCTGCCCCCCATTCCAGGAACTCGACCGGAAACTACAACCTGCTCGTCGAGGCGCTGCTGGTGGACGCGGCGGGCGGTCCGCCCGACTCGCTGGCGATCGTGAAGGGCGCCGTGTGCGACTCCGTCGCGACGAACGTGCTCGCGCTGCCGCTCGCCGCGGCGGACTGGCAGCAGCGCGCGGGGTGGTGGCTGCTGCACGCGGAGGCGCGCCTCGACGCTTTCCTCGAGAACGCGGACGCCGCCACCCTCGACGCGCTGCTCGCCGTGCTCCCCACCGCCTCGCCTCCGCCCACCAGAAGCGGCGGCGGGCGCAACGGCGGAGGCAGCGCGGGGGGTGCGCGGAACGGGCAGGGCGGGAGGCGCATGGGGCGGGAGCTGCTGATGCGCGCATTCGGCCGCGCTGCCAGGCAGGGGGGACAGAAGCAGGGGGGGCAGCAGCAGCAGGGGGGAGCGCAGCAGCCGCCTGCGGTAAGCGGGTATGCTGTGCTAGCGGGCAGCAGCGCAGCAGGTGTGACGTGGGGCGGGCAGCTCATCGGCGCCAAGATGCCCGCCGCTGCTGTTTAGGACCTCACTGCCACGCTGCTGCTTGATGCGCCACTGCCGTGGTGGTGGTGCTGCTGGTGCTGCTTGAACTCGTCCTGATGCAGGCTTTTATTGCCGCTGCTTGAGGGATCATTCATTGCCTTGAGGATGGCTCTGGCATTGCAGGGTGTCATGGGCTTCAGGGCTTTTCATTGGTGCGTGTGTCTGGATACGGTAACTTTGGTTAGACTCTCACTGGCCAGCTAAAATATGCCAAAGCATCAGGGGCAGGAATGCTGGCAAGGCATCATGGAACACCAGCTGACTTGCCAGTTTTCCTACCCCTGATTGTTCTTGTTGGGTTATGTTGTGATTCATGTAATTCGTGTGCTTGTAGTGTGGAGTCAACGTTCGTATTCAGACATGTTTTGGGAAGCCGATATATTCCTCATGAAGTTAGAGGGCATCAAATTTCTCAAGCTGCGAACTTCACAGTGAAGAAAACGATATTGACTCTGTTAGCAAACTATGTAGTGCGACTGTACCGCATTGGCCGCAGTGACTCGACGCTTTTAGGTCGCGTCGCGTTTCAATCCTGGAAATAACTTCGAAAAGCTCGCATTCTCTGACTTCGAATGCGCCGTTTTTTCGCACCCGAGCTTTACGTTTTCGTCTCACTCGACGTCAGTTTCAGGCCTCGTTCAGAAGGCATGCAGCATTCACGGGATAGAACCTAGTGCTCAGGTCGTCACTAGGTATCTGATACGGTAGTAGGAGAAATTAGGTCTCGATTTTGCGATTCCAGCCATGGAGAAGTTTATAGGTACCGCCAGATTCGTGTGCTTGGCCCCGGCCCTCCATGGCTTACTCATTTATTCCATCAGCGTATAGCGGATGGCGCCAGTGTGATTCAAGCGGGGAGAAGCGGAAATGAATGAGGAGGGGGAGCGGTTATTGGCGGAGAGATGGCGGGCGGCGGAGGATTCCGCGCGAAAGACTGGCGGAGGAGTTGAAGGAGGCGACGTATGTAGCGTCGACGGAACAGTATCGCGGATGTACAACGGTGACTCGATGGGCCGAGAGATGGATGCCCTTTTGGAGAAAGACGCCTATAAAGGGACGGGCAATAACGAGTATGGGGGGCAGGACGTTGTAACGGGGGGTTTAAGCACTGTGCGGATAAGGGAGGGGATGCCGCCAGCAGTGGGCGCAGAGAAGGGCGTGCCACGTGGCGTGGTGATATTGGTCGTCGTGTTCCTGGACCTGTTTGCAGTTGGCATGGCCATGCCACTCGTTACGCCGCTGATTGTAGAGCTAGGTGAGCTTACATCATGAAACTATGTATCATGGAATCTATCATGGAGCTAGGTACGCCAATATTGTAAAGATCTGAGTTCCACTGTTGTCACAAACTACCATGGATGTTTACTGCTAGGAGAGAACCGTTGGCGAGAATTGAGGAAGGTACTATTGCTCTGCTTTGCATTTACTGTCCCTTCCCTCTACCTCGCCCCCTGCCCCTTCCCTTGCCTCTCCACCTTCCCCTTCCCCTTCCCCTCCCCCCTGCCCCTTTCCCATGTTCCTCCCCCCTTCCCCTCCCCTCGGCCCCCGACCTTGTTCCTTCCCCCTTCCCCCTGCCCTTTCCCCCCCCCTTCCCCCTACCCCTGCACCTTTGCCCTTCCCGCTGCCCACCCCCTCCCCCCCCCCCCCCCCCCCCCTCGTACCTGGTGTGCTGCGTTTGAGCCCTCTGTCCGCGTCAGTCACCTTTACAAGCCGGCTTCCTCTTGTCCACATAGAGCGCTGTGCAACTCGTTACCGGGCCATTCTTTGTGTCACGGGGAGAGAAGGGAGAAGGGAAAGAGAGGGGAGGGGTTGGGGGGAAGGGAGAGGGGTAGGGGGAGGGGGAGGGGGAGGGGGAGGGGGAGGGGGAGGGGGAGGGTGAGGGGGAGGGTGAGGGGGATGGCGAGGGGCATGGCGACGGGGAGGAGGAGGGGGCAGAGCACAGGTGTAAGTGTCAGGAGACGTGGGGGTTGTGAGTGAGAGAGTTGCCTGCTGCTCGAAGCTTTTCGTTTCGCCCTGTGCTCATGTCTAGGGCAGCGCACCAGTATAACGGTGAGAGAAACGTGATGCACCTGTAAGTAGTAACAGCAACCAATTGCTCCTGAGTTGACTTACGGCAGAACGTATTTTCATCTCTCGTTGCTGTGTGCATGCCTCACTCTTGATGCATGCCCACATGAGCCGATTCGGCTCGTGAAATTGTTGGTGCTGTTTCACTTGGCGTGAAACAGACAATTCAGCCCCCATTGAATGGAGGTGGAGCAGGGCACTTGGTATTTTGCCTCCATCGAACCTTCATTTTATCTTCCTTGTGGTTTTCTGCTAACCTGCTTGAAACCTTCCAGCTACTGCTATGGCAGAGCACAATGTTGCTGCTGTGAGAGACGGATGGCAGGAAGGAACGAGCGGCTTGCTGCTAGGGAACACCAGTGTAATGGTGAACTAAGGATGAGGCAGCAAGCACGTGACTTCTAGGAAAATAGTGGAATCAGTTCCTCCTGACCTGCTTTCAAAGCAAATCGGATTTTTTTATTCTCGTTTTCGTATGCACGCCTTACTCGCTGACATACACACATGGCCTCTTTCCTCATGTACCCACCCACTCCCCCCCATATTAGATTTTTGAGGCGCCTCAAAAGTTGGCCTCTTTCCTCATGTACCCACTCCCTCACATATTAGATTTTGCTCGACTCGTGACCCTGCTCAGCTGGTTTTACATGCTTTCCCTTCACGACTCGTTCTTGCATTTATGAGTCAATCAGGGTGTTTAGATAGATGTTGTTTGATGTGATGAATTCAGACTTCTTCGAGCCTTCACTTAACCTCTTCAAAACCGCTTCAAACCTTCAGCAAAGCACTTCAAAAACTTCTTGAAACCTTCTTCTTTCAATCCCTGACAACTTCCCTCACAACTTTTTGTTGAAACTCCTTGCCTTCCCTTCTCTCTCTTCAGATCTTGGTCATCCTATGGGCGTGGGCATGGGCATGGGCATGGGCATGGGCGCATGGACATGGGCATGGGCATGGGCATAGGTGTGGCATGGGAGTAGGGGTGGGCATGGGCATTGGCATGGGCATGGGCATGGCCATGGGCATAGGCATGGGCATAGGCATGGGCATGGGAATGGGCATGGCCATGCGCATAGGCAGGGGTACAGCAGGTCATCAAGTTGTAGGGTCGGCTCAAAGGGCATACGCAGAGCCACTGCGATGCAAGTGTTTGAGTGGACTCAGATGGCAATCATTCAGCCATCTGTTACGTGTTAATACATATCACATACCATTGGCCCCAACCCTCACCATTCCCCTCCTTCACTGATTCACTTTCCCCTTCCCTTGAGCATCCTTCCTGTATATCTCACCATGCTTTCCATATTACTACTACGGGATAGAAATATCATGAGCTCTCATCAGAACTTCCATAGCTAGAGGATGAATATCACATGAGCCCTGTGCCACCCACCCCTCTCCGCCCGTCTTCATCCCCCCTTCTCTCTCGCCTCCCTCCTCATCCTTTCCCCACAACCCCTCCACCCTCCGCCTTCAACTGTGCGTGCACTACGGTAGTTCTTGTTGCCTCCCCACCTTCCGTTCATAGACTTTGCTCCAACAGGGTGGCAAGACTGATTGAGCTGTTGGATTATTGCTCGCATGTCTGCTTCTGTTCCTCTCATCAACATACCAATACGAGGTGATATGCGGGTCACAAGCAAGCAGCCAGTCAACGAAAACATGTGGTAGTGAGGCACTCGGTTGGCAGATACATAACAGAGTAGGCCTTCCTTGTTAATGGCTGCATTTTGGAGCGTCTCAGGTGTTCAACAAAATTTCCAAATGCAGATTCAACCCCACAAGGAACTTCTTACAATTATATGAAGAAAGGATCTGACGATAATTAGCATAACAAATGTTTCTAGAGCTGTATCCTGTACTGCACTTGCCAGTGTGCGGGAAGGTCAATGCACCTACTCTTTTGCGCTCACTGACGCGTTTTTCCATTCCTTCGTGTGATTTGCCTTCAATTCGCGCTGACTCACGCGTTTGAATCCCGTCGCACATTTTCAACTCTTAGTTGGCAAATCGCACACATTGAACCTCCACAGTTGGTCTGGACATTTCTGAACCTCACACATTGCTTGGCGAGACAAGCATCAACCTTGGACCTTAGCGGCTTTGACTCGCGTCTACTCCTGGTTTTGACTACCCTATAAGTAGCCATTGATTCAAACCATTTCACTCACCAACAGCTTCCATTTCACGCTCTACTTTCTTCACCCAAGCTTCCTAGTCAGTGCGACCCATTCACTCAAGCTTTCTAGTCACTCACGTTTCCACTTTCACCACTTGGTAGATCACAGCTCGATTCAGATCCAGGCATGGCGGCAGTCAGAGCGCTCGTCCTCGCGTGCGTGCTCCTCCTCGTGTCGACGTCCGCCTTGGCGCAGCGTGGTCCGCCTGGCGGAGGTCCTCCTGGCGGTCAGCGCGGAGGCCCTGGCGCCAGTTTCGGCGGACCCGGCGGTCCCGGCGGTCCTGGCGGTCGCGATGGTCCCGGCGGGCCTGGCGGTCCCGGCGGGCCTGGCGGACCGCGCGGTCCTCCGCTGAACCTCACCGCCGTCGGGAATCTGACGGCCGATATCGGCGCGCAGCTCGCCAACTGCACGGTGGATCAGAAGACCCTCAACGGCAGCTTCCACCTCGCCGTCTTCAAGAACTCCACCGGAAACTACAATCTGCTTGTCGAGGCAATGCTGGTGGACGCGGCGGGCGGTCCGCCCGACTCGCTGGCGATCGTGAAGGGCGCCGTGTGCGACGCCGCCGCGACGGACGTGCTCGCGCTGCCGCTCGCCGCGGCGGACTGGCAGCAGCGCGCGGGGTGGTGGCTGCTGCACGCGGAGGCGCGCCTCGACGCGTTCCTCGAGAACGCGGACGCCGCCACCCTCGACGCGCTGCTCGCCGTGCTCCCCACCGCCTCGCCTCCGCCCACCAGAAGCGGCGGCGGGCGCAACGGAGGAGGCAGCGCCAACGGCGGCAGCGCGGGGGGCGCGCGGAATGGGCAGGGCGGGAGGCGCATGGGGCGGGAGCTGCTGACGCGCGCATTCGGCCTCGCGGCCAGGCAGGGGGGACAGAAGCAGGGGGGACAGAAGCAGGGGGGGCAGCAGCAGGGGGGGCAGCAGCAGCAGGGGGGAGCGCAGCAGGCGCCTGTAGTGAGCGGGTATGCTGTGCTGGCGGGCAGCAGCGCAGCAGGTGTGACGTGGGGCGGGCAGCTCATGGGCGCCAAGATGCCCGCCGCTGCTGTTTAATGCTCCACTGTCCTGCTGCTGCTGCTTTATCCAGCAGATGGTTTGACAACCATTGCTGGTGCTCCTACTGCTGGCTTTGGGCGATGGAACCCAGACTGTTACACGCTGTAGTCATGCACGCCTTTGCATTGATGTGCTGGAGCCTTGAGGGCTTCTTAGATGTGGGTGCCTGGATAGGCTTGCTCCGGGTTCGCTCCGGGCTTGCTCTGGGTTTGCTCGGATTCATGCTCGAGTAGCTCTCGAATAGGTGAAAGCATCAGGGGCAGGAATGCTGGCAAGGCATCAGGGGACACCAACTGACTTGCCTGTCTTCCTACCGCTGAATGTTTTTTTTTTAGGTTATTCGTTTTGATCTGTGTTATTCATGTCCCTGTGTGTTACAGTATTTTCAAAATTAGTGCATATACCATCTGTTTCCCCTTGTGCAATAGAACGTTTTGTTGCAAGTTGCAACAGCCTTACCTGAAGTAGGGTACTGTATGAGTTGAATAGTTGTCAAGCAACACTTAGGGCAAATGAATCACCAAGGGAGGACTATATACCATATAACAAATCACCTCCTACAATCAAGCCAAATGTTGTTTGGACAAGATTCCTGTGGCAGCAGAGGCATGTTGCATGTGAAGCGGAGAGCTGCACTGTACTGTACTGACTGTACTAGCGCTGCCAAAGAGTGGCTGAGGCAGTCAGGCCAAATGCCCTTTGGACAAAATTCCTGTGGCAGCAGAGGCAGGTTGATGGCGGCGCAGCACTAGCAGGTGGAAGAGGAGAGCTGCAGTGGCTGCAATGACAGCGCTGGCAGGGAGGAGATGTAGGGAAGGGGGGAGGGACAGAGGTGGCAAGGTTGAAAGAATTCGCAGCACTAGCAGGTGGAGGAGAGGAGAGCTGCAGTGGCAGCAACGATTGCACTGGCAGGGAGGAGATGGAGGGAAGGGAAGCAAAGGAGATGGAATAACTGTGAGCAGCAGTGGCAGCAGCGATAGAGCTCCCAAGGAGCCAACGGAGGTGATTTTCATTTTGGGACAGCGGCAGGGGTGTAATAGGTCAAGTGAATCAGCATGCCATTGGGCTTACCTGACAGCAACCGGCGAATTGAGATGAGAGGAGGCCGACTTGTGAGTATTGTTTTGAGGCGCCTCAAAACACGACGTTTGAGTCGACTCAAAAGTCACCCGAAGAAGCACGTTAGCGGGCCTACCTGACAGCGACAGGGGCGTGGTAGCCGAATTGGGATGAGAGGAGGCCGGCAGCAGAGGGACCGAGCACCCGACAAGCTGACATGATGGCGTCTGATAGGCCCAGCAGCTGACCCACCTGGTAGGGAGGTGAGTGAGTGTAGAGGAGATAGAGGGATGCTGAGTACGAGCAACATGCACCGTTTGGTTATCAGCCAATGAGCACTCGACAGGCCGACATGATGGCGTCTGATTGGCCCAGCAGCTGACCCACCTGGTTGTTGGGTGGGGCAGGGGAAGGAAAGGGAAGAGGGAGAGGGGGGAAGAGAGCATGGCATGCAGTGTGGTGTGGAAGAGGGTCAGTGCATTTGTCAGGCGGACATGATGAGGGGCCGAGCACTCGAGTTTTGAGGCGCCTCAAAAGACATGATGAGGGGCCGAGCACTCGAGTTTTGAGGCGCCTCAAAAGACATGATGAGGGGCCGAGCACTCGAGTTTTGAGGCGCCTCAAAAGACATGATGAGGGGCCGAGCACTCGAGTTTTGAGGCGCCTCAAAAGACATGATGAGGGGCCGAGCACGAGAGAGAGAGAGAGAGAAGTGGACTGTCGAGCCTTGCCTGATTGATGCATTACATCGCTTGGCTTCGCAACAAGTGATGGTTGTAGAGACGTGGAGAAGAGAGACGTGGAGAAGAGAGACGTGGAGAAGAGAGACGGGAAAAGAGAGCGCACGGTGCCTGACATCTCGAATGGCGACCAGCACCTGACAGTTAAACCGGCCTAGTTTCCTTTCCTGTCTCACACAACGTGAGCAAGAGGGGACGAGGGGAGGAGGATTACCTCACTCTGAGCGACAGAGGTGGTGAGGAGGGCTGTGTATGTGGTGCGGAGAACACCGGTTGATAGGGCGAGCAGAGGTAGCAATAGGATCAGGAAAAGCTGAAGGGCAGGGGAGTCGGGAGCGAAAGGGCAATTGAGAGTTCTCAGAAGCAACTCCAGCATGAAGAACAACGCAGAAACACACACAAAAATGGCAGAATAACAGAAGCAAGAGGGGCTTTTGCAGAGCAAGAAGTGAGAGGCAGCAGGATGAAAATTAGTATGCATTAAAGGAAGAGGCAGAACGAGAGGCAGATGGAGACACAGAAGAAGAGGCAGATGGAGACACAGAAGAAGAGGCAGATGGAGACACAGAAGAAGAGGCAGATGGAGACACAGAAGAAGAGGCAGATGAAGACACAGAAGAAGAGGCAGATGGAGACACAGAAGAAGAGGCAGATGGAGACACAGAAGAAGAGGCAGATGGAGACACAGAAGAAGAGGCAGATGGAGACACAGAAGAAGAGGCAGATGGAGACACAGAAGAAGAGGCAGATGGAGACACAGAAGAAGAGGCAGAGCGAAAAGCAGAAGAGGCAGATGGAGAGAGCATGGTACAAGGAGGAACAATCCATGAGGCTGAGAGAAGTAGCAACGGGTGAGGGAGAGTGAGAAGAAGAGGCGGAGGGAGAGGCAGAGGCAGAGAGCATGGTACAGGGAGCAGGCCCCACGTTATCAGAGTAAATTACTCTGTTTCTCTGAAAATCAGAGTCATTTTTTAAAGTAACTCAGTACCCGCTGGGTTTTTTTTTTGGAACTTAAGATTTCTCTGATTTGTCAGAGTTATGCTGTAGGTTACTCTGAGGCCTCTGGGGTTTTTTTTCAGGGACCGAATTTACTCTGTATAGGGAATACATGCCCCCTAGCCGAAACCCACCCACCCCCCTCCCCCCCTCCCCCTCCCCACGTTTAGCGGGTTTTCCCCGAATCGTTGAGATTATTATCCTGATTTCGGTCGTGTGTTGGGGGCAATATGAGCGTTGATTGGCTACAAAAGTTTGACAACTTCTCAACCAGCGCACATGTCAGCCACTCCCCTCCCTCTCCTTGAGTCAGATTATCGGTGCCAACACCTCACTTGGAAACAACGCACTGAGGGGGGAAACGTGGGCGACGCGGAAATGAAACATAGTGCAAGCACAAAAGGCGTAACAAAAACTTTCATACAGCAAACTTAACCAGCACCAGAGTAGAGAAAAATATTACTCTGACGTGCCTAGGTTTTATTTTTTAAAGTGTAGGGTTACTCTGACAAATCAGAGTAAGGCGCATGAACAACCCTAGATTTCAGAGTTGGGAAAAAATCTACTCTGGAAATCAGAGTACCTAGAATCCAAAAGTAGGCCCTGACAGGGAGGAATGCTACGAGGCTGGGACAAGAGGTCCTTACAAGGCTGGGAGCAGCAGCAAAGAGGGCGAGGGTGAGGGAAGGTTGACAGAAGATGGGGCGGGGGCAGACAACATGGCACATGGGGGAACGGCTTACAAGGCTGGGGGCAGCAGCGAGCAGAGCGAGGGTGAGGGAGAGCAGCAGCAGGCCGCGGAAGATGAGAGGCGCTTCTGGGAAGCGATGCAGTAAGGGGCGGATGGCGAGGCCCTGTACGAGCGATGTGAGGAGACCCTGAGAGGTGGGGATAGGAAGAGAGGGACATGGAACCGGATTTGACGGCTCACATGAGGGGCTTTGGACATCAGTGCAGCAAGGGACGCATGGCGAGGCCCTGTACCAGCGATGTGAGGAGACCCTGAGGGAGGGGAATAGGGTGAGAGGTGGGGATGGTGAGGAGAAGAAGGGTGGGATGAACTTTGGTGGATGAAGGCACACTGGAGGCGTTGCAGCAAGGGACGGATGGCCAGGCCATGTACCAGCGATGTGCAGAGGTGCTGAGAGAGGGACATGTGACATGACATGTGTATAGTGGGGATTAAGTTGCCTTACGTGTGGTGCAGCAAGGGGCGGATGGCCAGGCCGTGTACCAGCGATGTGCAGAGGTGCTGAGAGAGGAACATGTGAAAAGAGGGGGACATGATGAAGTGATATGGGATGTGAAGAAGAGGGACGAGAAGTGGGTACAAAAAACCAACCATTAGCCACACACCCCAATTTCACCACTCACCACAACTCACCGCCGCTCACCGCCGCTCACCTGCAATGAAAGCAGCAATCCGTTGGTGTGCATGGGGAGGATAAGGCGGTAGATGAGGAGCAGCGAGAAACCCTGGCGGAACACATGCACCGCCAGGAACCACCGCTGGCCACTCACCACCACTCATCACCACTCACCACCACTCATCACCACTCACCACTGCTCACCTGCAATGAAAGCAGCAGCCCGTTGGTGTGGACTGGCAGGTTGAGGCGGTAGATGAGGAGCAGCGAGAAACCCTGACGAAAAAGGTGCACCGCCAGCCCCACAGAGGAACCTGATTTGCCACTCATCACCACTCACCACCGCTCACCACCACTGACCAGCGCACACCACCGCTCACCTGCAGCGAGAGCAGCAGTCTGTTGGTGTGCACGGGGAGGTTGAGGTGGTAGATGAGGAGCAGCGAGAAGCCCTGACGAAAAAGGTGCACTGCCAGCCCCAGCCCCATATCAGGGCCACCATTCGCCACTCACCACCACTTATCACCACTCACCACCACTCACCATCACCCACAACCCCTACCTGCAGCGAGAGCAGCAGTCCATTGGTGTGCACGGGGAGGTTGAGGCGGTAGATGAGGAGCAGCGAGAAGCCCTGCCGGAAGAGGTGCACCGCCAGCCCCAGCACTGCCCGCACCGCCATCAGTGCTGCCACTCGGGGTCGAGTCAGTATGGCCACCTGAGAGGAGAAATGGGGGAGGATGGGAGGGACAATGGAAGGAACTGGGAGGGACGATGAGGGTCCTAGCTTAGGAAAAAAAAAAAAAAAAAAACCGGGGTAACCTCTCTACGCATTGCTTGACGTGCCGAGTTTCGATTCAAGGAGTGCGGGTTTCATTCCATGAGGTGCAAAAGTAGTCTCTTGTTTTGAGGCACCTCAAGAGAGAGCACAACTAACGAGAACAGCCAGAAGAGGATGCTTGTTGTGTTGGAGAAGAGAAGGATAGTGAAGGGAGGAGAGCAATGAGAAGAGAAGAGAAGGATAGTAAAGGGAGGAGGGCAATGCGAGGAGAATAGGGGAGGGGAGGAAGGGTAGGAGAGAAACAGGAGGCAAGAAATGGGAGAAAAAAATTGGGGGAAAAGAAAGTCCATTATTGAGTCCACTCAGAAAGAGTGTCTTACATTGGGAAGGAGACCTTGCAGTGAGAGAACCCGTGTTCTCTTATGGGTATGTGGTGTAATTTCGGTAGAGGGTTTATGCTGTGATTCCAGCTGTGTGACAGTAATGAAGGAGTTTATAGCGTAGAGAAGCGCTGCTGCTGCTGTTGGGAGGGGATAACTGCCTGCCTGGGTGGGAGGAGCAAGAAGATGCGAGGAAGGGGAGGGTTGAGGGTGGGAGAAAGGCGAAGGCGGGAGGGAGAAGGAAAGGGGGGAAAGGGATGGGAGAGGAAGAGGCAAAAAAAGAAGCAGAAAGAGAGAAGAGGCCTTATGTTTCGTTCATTCCCCCTCAAGTTACTCACTGGTGTCCTTCGGAAAAGAGATGAGGAAATTGAAGAGGATGCATGGGAATTGCAAAAGCAGACAATGATAAGTGATACAGAGGGGCAGCAGGCAAGCCATGCTCCCTCTACGTTTTTGAGACGTCTCAAAACTCGAGGGAGCAGCCCATGCTTTACTTGCCCCCTGAGTTATGATCTCTCTGAAAGCCCACCCCATTGTTGAAGGTGAATTTTGAGTCAACTCACAAGTCATCTCGAAAAGCACAGGAAAGGGTTGTCATGAACATTGAGCAACGGCTTATTTTAGCAAGACCTACTTTAAATAGCATGCCACCCACTGCAGGGCCGACCATGATGCCCAGAGCCGATGCTGTTGCCATCCTGTGAGAGCGATTTGGAATGTGGGGAGGCATGCGGGAATGAGCACTTGCACAAGAAGGGGGAGGCACAACAGCAGTGCTCATTCCTGCTGGCCATGATGCCCAAAGCTCATGCTGTTGCCATCCTGTTATGGTGGAGTGAATTGGAATGTGGGGAGGCAGGCAGGCATGAGCAGTTGCACCAGAAGGGGGAGGCACAACAGCAGTGCTGGCCATGATGCCCAAAGTTGATGCTGTTGCCATCCTGTTATGAAGGAGTGGAATGAGAGAACGGTGGCGAGGCAGCAATGGTGGCGAGGCAGCAACGGTGGCGAGGCAGCAAGGGTGGCAAGGCAGCAACGGTGGCGAGGCAGCAATGGTGGCGAGGAAGCAATGGTGGCGAGGCTGCAATGGTGGCGAGGCAGCAATGGTGGCGAGGCAGCAATGGTGGCGAGGCTGCAATGGTGGCGAGGCAGCAATGGTGGCGAGGCAGCAATGGTGGCGAGGCAGCAATGGTGGCGAGGCAGCAATGGTGGCGAGGCAGCAATGGTGGCGAGGCAGCAATGGTGGCGAGGCAGCAATGGTGGCGAGGCAGCAATGGTGGTGAGGCTGCAATGGTGGCGAGGCAGCAATGGTGGCGAGGCAGCAATGGTGGCGAGGCAGCAATGGTGGCGAGGCTGCAATGGTGGCGAGGCAGCAATGGTGGCGAGGCAGCAATGGTGGCGAGGCAGCAATGGTGGCGAGGCAGCAATGGTGGCGAGGCAGCAATGGTGGCGAGGCAGCAATGGTGGCGAGGCTGCAATGGTGGCGAGGCAGCAATGGTGGCGAGGCTGCAATGGTGGCGAGGCTGCAATGGTGGCGAGGCAGCAATGGTGGCGAGGCAGCAATGGTGGCGAGGCTGCAATGGTGGCGAGGCAGCAATGGTGGCGAGGCAGCAATGGTGGCGAGGCAGCAATGGTGGCGAGGCTGCAATGGTGGCGAGGCAGCAATGGTGGCGAGGCTGCAATGGTGGCGAGGCAGCAATGGTGGCGAGGCAGCAATGGTGGCGAGGCAGCAATGGTGGCGAGGCAGCAATGGTGGCGAGGCAGCAATGGTGGCGAGGCAACAATGGTGGCGAGGCAGCAATGGTGGCGAGGCTGCAATGGTGGCGAGGCAGCAATGGTGGCGAGGCAGCAATGGTGGCGAGGCAGCAATGGTGGCGAGGCAGCAATGGTGGCGAGGCTGCAATGGTGGCGAGGCAGCAATGGTGGCGAGGCAGCAATGGTGGCGAGGCTGCAATGGTAGCGAGGCAGCAATGGTGGCGAGGCAGCAATGGTGGCGAGGCAGCAATGGTGGCGAGGCTGCAATGGTGGCGAGGCAGCAATGGTGGCGAGGCTGCAATGGTGGCGAGGCAGCAATGGTGGCGAGGCAGCAATGGTGGCGAGGCAGCAATGGTGGCGAGGCAGCAATGGTGGCGAGGCAGCAATGGTGGCGAGGCAGCAATGGTGGCGAGGCAGCAATGGTGGCGAGGCAGCAATGGTGGCGAGGCTGCAATGGTGGCGAGGCAGCAATGGTGGCGAGGCAGCAACGGTGGCGAGGCAGCAATGGTGGCGAGGCTGCAATGGTGGCGAGGCAGCAATGGTGGCGAGGCAGCAATGGTGGCGAGGCAGCAATGGTGGCGAGGCAGCAATGGTGGCGAGGCAGCAATGGTGGCGAGGCTGCAATGGTGGCGAGGCAGCAATGGTGGCGAGGCAGCAATGGTGGCGAGGCAGCAATGGTGGCGAGGCAGCAATGGTGGCGAGGCAGCAATGGTGGCGAGGCAGCAATGGTGGCGAGGCAGCAATGGTGGCGAGGCTGCAACGGTGGCGAGGCAGCAACGGTGGCGAGGCAGCAATGGTGGCGAGGCAGCAATGGTGGCGAGGCAGCAATGGTGGCGAGGCTGCAAGGTGGCGAGGCAGCAATGGTGGCGAGGCAGCAATGGTGGCGAGGCAGCAATGGTGGCAAGGTAGCAATGGTGGCGAGGCAGCAATGGTGGCGAGGCAGCAATGGTGGCGATGCAGAAAGGATTGAGCGAAAGGGGGGAAGATAGCAGGGGTGGTGGAGAGGCAGCAGCTGCGTGAATGCCCCCACCCATGCCCCTGCCCTTGCCCATGCCCCTGCCCTTGCCCATGCCCCTGCTCATCCCCTTGTCCCTGCCTCTGTCCCTGCTTCTGTCCCTGCCCCTGCCCCATGCCTGGATGCAGGGGCCATGCTGTGCCCCTGCCCATGTGATGGCAGGAGGAGATGGCATGGCGTGGCATGGCATGGCATGGCATGGGATGGTACGGCACGGCATGACCCAAGCAAGCAGGCCGCTCACCTGCCCAGCTCTACGGCTCTGTTGGTGGCTGTGGTGTGACCGGCCACATACGCCTTCCCTGCATTCATAATGTGCTTGGTGCTCAATGTGTGGTGCTTGACTGACTTCTCAAGGGAAGGGAATGGATGGCATGGCCTCACCTGCCCAGCTCCACGGCTCTGTTACTGGCTGTGGTGTGATCCGCCACATACGCCTTGACTGCATTCATGCTGTGCCACGCGCCTCACCTGCCATCACCCAACCAAACATCGCCCCACCCGCCCAGCTCCAAGCCCCACCTGCGTCTCACCTGCCGAGCTCCACGGCTCTGTTGGTGGCTGTGGTGTGATCCGCCACATACGCCTTGACTGCATTCATGCTGTGCTTGGTGATGCCCAGTAGCACACGAGAGATCACCACCATCTGAATGGATCAGGAGGGAGATCAAAGAGGAAGCTTCAGAGTAAGGTAGGTTTGAAGGGGTATTCACAGGAGGTGGGGCTGCAAAGGCGGTTCAAAAGGGCGGAAATTCGACACTGAAAAGAGCCTTGAAGTAGAACTGCTCTGCCCCAGCAGCAGGTAGCTCGGCCTCATCCCCTCCCTCAATCCCCCGCCCCCCCCCTTCTCCTCGTCACTCACCGTGACGGTGCTGCTCTGCCCCAGCAGCAGGTAGCTGGCCCCTGCGCCAGCATACGACACCAGAGTCACAACCCGCCTGCCCATGCTGTCACTCAGCAGACCCTGAGGGCACACGCGGAGAGCGGGGAAAGAGGGGCAAAAGGTGTTGTGTTAGAAGCAAGTAGCTGGCCCCTGCGCCAGCATACGACACCAGAGTCACAACCCGCCTGCCCATGCTGTCACTCAGCAAGCCGGAGGGCACACACGGAGAGGGAGCAGGGGAAGAGGGCAACAGGTGTAGTCGAAAGTAAGTAGCTGGCCTCTGCGCCAGCATATGACACCAGAATCACATCCCGCCTGCCCATGCTGTCACTCAGCAAGCCCTGAGGGGACACGCGGAGAGGTCAGGAGAGAGAGGGAGCGAGGAAAAGAAGGCAAAGGTATAGTTTTGAGGTCAAGCGACAGCTGGAAGCACCACCGGCAGGCAGTCACAACCGCGGAGGGGAGAGAGAAGAGGGCACTAGGCATGTTCTGAGAACTGGGCAGAATATGTCTAGGCATCATAGGTCCAGCCAGCCAGCCAGCTGCACAGTCAACTCAGAATATGTCTAGGCATCATAGGTCCAGCCAGCTGCAACAAAGCCACTTGTAATGAGACCAGCCCAACACGAGATGTTGGCACAGGCTTACAATTGAGGGTGAGAAATGCGCATAAACGAGCAAGTGAGGGTTGCTTACAAAGAATGGACCGGTAACGAGTTGCACAGCGCCGTATGTGGACGAGAGAAAGCCGACCTGTAAAGGGGACGCTCCTAACGCGAACAGACGGTTCAGAGGCAGGCACACATGGTACCGGGGAAGGGGCGCAGGTTCAGGGGTAAGTGGGGGCGGGGCAAGGGAAAAGGGGAAGGGGGAAGGAGCAGCAACCTCAGCTTTCCTCAATTCTCGACGTATTCGAGGGGCTAATGAATGGATTATGCCAGCAGAGGAACCCTTGAAATTAAAGCATTTAACTTACCTAGCTCCTTGATTAGCGGCGTGACGAGCGGCATGGCCATGCCCACTGCAAACAGGTCCAGGAACACGACGACCAATATCACCACGCCACGTGGCACGCCCTTCTCTGCGCCTGCAGCTGGCGGAATCCCCTCCCTTATCCGCGCAATGCTTCTTCCCCCTGTTACAACGTCCTGCCCCCCGTACTCGTTATTGCCCGTCCCTTTATAGGCTCCTCTCTCCAAAAGGGGATCCGTCTCTCTGCCCGTCGAGTCACCATTGTACATCCGCGATACTGCCTCGTCGCCGCTACATACGTCTCCTCCCCCAATTCGTCCGCCAGTCTTTCGCGCAGAACTCTCCGCCGCCCGCCATCTCTCCGCCAATAACCGCTCCCCCTCCTCATTCATTTCCGCTTCCCCCACCCGCGGCATTCGCACTCTCCGCTTGAATCACACTGGCACCATAAGCTGCAGAACTTATTTCACAATGATATGTCCCCGATATACGCTGATATAATAAATTAGTAAGCCATGGAGGGCCGGGGTCAAGTACACAAATCTGGCGGTACCTACAAACTTATAATCGCCATTGCTGGAATCGCAGAATAGAGACCTAGTACACCTACTATCGGATTGCTAATGACGACCAGAGCACTAGGTTCTATCCCGTGAATGCTGCATGCCTTCTGAACGAGGCCTGAAGCTGACGGCAAGTAAGACGACAACGGAAAGCTCGGGTGCGGAAAAACGGCGCATCTGAAGTGAGGCCCCGAGCCGCGACGCGACCTAAAAGCGTCCTGTCACAGCGGCCAAATGCGGTACAGAAGCACCAAATCCCACCCTAATTTGCTTATAGATAGTCATGAGTGTTTTTCTTCTTGTTCGTTATTTGGAGGTAAGTTCACAAAACTTCGTTTGAATGCGCCGTTTTTCCGCACTTCATGTGAAGTATGGGCTTCCTAAAACACGTCAGAATACAAACGCTGAAGTGACTCTACAAGCACACAAATAACATCAATTACAACAAATAACCTCTCAATAACTATCAAGGGTAGGAAGTCTGGCAAGTCAGCTGGTGTTCCCTGATGCCTTGCCAGCATTCCTGCCCCTGATGCTTTGACCTACGGTAATTACTCTACTCCTCGAGAGTCTAAGCAAAGCTATCCAGTCCAGATGATGAAAAGCCCTGAAGCCCATCACACCCTGCAGGTGTTCACCATGCAAAGTACCAAGCCGACGCCACAGCCATCCCCAAGGCAGCTATTTCTCAAGCAGCAGCAATGAAAGCCTGTATCAGGATGAGTTCAAACAGCTCCAACCGCAGGGCACCAGAGCATCAAGCAGCAGCGGCGAGCATCTTGGCGCCCATGAGCTGTCCGCCCCACGTCACACCTGCTGCGCTGCTGCCCGCCAGCACAGCATACCCGCTCACTACAGGCGCCTGCTGCGCTCCCCCCTGCTGCTTCTGCCCCCCCTGCTGCTGCCCCCCCTGCTGCTGCCCCCCCTGCTTCTGCCCCCCCTGCCTGGCAGCGAGCCCGAATGCGTGCATCAGCAGCTCCCGCCCCATGCGCCTCCCGCCCTGCCCGTTCCGCGCGCCCCCCGCGCTGCCTCCGCCGGCACTGCTACCCCCGCCGTTGCGACCGCCGCCGCTGATGGGCGGAGGCGAGGCGGTGGGGAGCACGGCGAGCAGCGCGTCGAGGGTGGCGGCGTCCGCGTTCTCGAGGAACGCGTCGAGGCGCGCCTCCGCGTGCAGCAGCCACCACCCCGCGCGCTGCTGCCAGTCCGCCGCGGCGAGCGGCAGCGCGAGCACGTCCGTCGCGGCGGAGTCGCACACGGCGCCCTTCACGATTGCGATCGAGTCGGGTGGACCGCCTGCCGTGTCCACCAGCAGCGCCTCGACCAGCAGATTGTAATTTCCGGTGGCGTTCTTGAAGACGGCGATGTGGAAGCTGCCGTTAAGGGTCTTCTGATCCATGGTGCAGTTGGCGAGTCGCGCGCCGATATCGGCCGTCAGATTCCCGACGGCCGTCAGGTTCAACGGAGGACCGTGCGGCGGCTTTCCGTCTGGACCCCCGGGACCGCCGGGTCCGCCGGAACCGGCGCCAGGGCCTCCGCGCTGACCGCCGGGAGGACCTCCGCCAGGCGGACCACGCTGCGCCAAGGCGGACGTCGACACGAGGAGGAGCACGCACGCGAGGACGAGCGCTCTGACTGCCGCCATGGCTGGATCTGTATCGAGCTGCGATCGACTAAGTGGCGAAAGTTTTCCTGGTGTACGGGTTGCACTGACTAGGAAAGTAAGCTTGGGTGAAGAAAGTGGAGAATAAAATGGAAGCTGTTGGTGAGTGAAATGGTGGGAGAGTCAATGGCTTTTTACAGGATAGTCAACACGAGGGGTCTGGTTTGGGAGGTAGACGCGAGTCAAAGCCGCTCTGGACTATGCTTGGGTTTGCCTGGGAAACTCGCCACGCGATGCCTGATTGGGTAGTTGCGGAAGTTTGGAACTGGCCAGACCAATTCTTGAGGTTCGAAATGTAGATACCATACCAGCCGATAGTTGAAAATATGCGACGGGATCCAACGCGTCAGTCAGCGCGAATGGAAGGCACATGGTAGCAGCAACCACTTTCCTTCACAATGGCGGGTGCAGTACAGGATACAGTGTTAAAAGGAACATTGAGTTACGTTTGTTATTATCGGTTTCTCTCCTTGATATATTCAAGTACCTGTGCGATCCAATGTGAATCTAGAGGACTTGAACACATTCAACGATATTCAGAACACAGCTTGTAACGTGGAATGGTCTTTTGTTACGCCGTTCTGTACCTGCCTACTCCTGACTGACTAACGCCTAACTCACTCACGACCGCCTGCTTTGGTTGGCTGACCGTGTCTCATGACCCGCATATAAGCTAGTCTCAGTAAGTTGATGCGAGGAACAGCAGCAGGCATGTTGCCACCCTGTTGGAGGGGAAGTTAATGAGTGGAAGGTGGGCAGGCAACAATGACTTAGCACACACACACACACAGGATTTCAGGAGAAAAAAAGGGGAGAGAGGGGGTAGGGGAGGGAAGGTATACAGTGATTTTCATCCAGTTGCTGTGGATGCCCTGGTGATGCCTCATGGTCCTAGTATACCTGTAGTATGGGATGGAAGCATGATGAGGGATAAGGGGAGAGGGCAGAATGGAAGGGGAAAGTGAATCTGCGAATGAGGGGAGCGGCGAGAGTTAGAGGCAAAGGTGAAGTGACATGTTGTAGCATGAAATGTATGGCAGAGCAGTGGCTTATGAATGCCTTCAGAGTCCACTCAGTCTCTCGCATAGCAATGTCTCTATGTATGCCTTGTGACTAGACTCTACAACTGAAGTACCACCAGTGCTTATAGCCACGCCCATTCTCCTGTCCATGCCCATTCCCATGCTTTTCACATGGCCATTCCCATGCCATGCCCATGTGCATTCCCATACACATGCCAATGCCCATTCCCATGCCCATCCCCATGCCCATGCCCATGCTCATGCTCACGTGCTTGCCCATGTGCATGCCATTTCCATGCCCCATCCTCCCACCTGCCAATCCAACCCCATCGAGCCAGCATCACCATTGCCCAACCCAAGACGTTGGCCGATCTCACCCATTCCCTAACCTCATCGCATTCCCGAAATCACCCATCGCCCATCCATCACCCATTTCCCAACCATCACCCATTTCCCAACATCATCCATTTCCCAACATCATCCATTTCCCAACATCATCCATTTCCCAACATCACCCCTTTCCCAGCATCACTTATTTCCCAACCTCACCTCTTCCCCAATCTCACCGCCAACCTCGCCCATTCTGCAGCCTCACACATGGCCCAACCTCACCCATTGCCCAACCACATCCATTACCTTACCTAAACCTTCGCCCAACCTCAACCACTGCCGAACCTCACCCATTGCCAAACCTCACCACTTGCCCAGCCTGACCAGGCTGACCCATTGCCAAACCTCACCCACGTACAACCTCGCCCATTGCCCAACCTCACCCATCGCCCAGCCTCACCCATTTCCCATCCACACCCACTGCCTATCCCCTGTTTGGAAACATCTCACAACTTGTCTCACCTGCGGACCTCATGTGTTGATGGGCGTGGTGTGATCGCCGGTCGGCCACATTCGCCTTGATTGCATTCAAGCTGTGCTCGTTGCGATCGTCTGACAGGATGGGACAACCATGTATCGGAGGGAGGTGGGGAGAAGGCAAGGAGGTTGAAAAGCAAGTTGTGAGGGAGGTTGCTAGGGTTTTAAAGGGTTTGAATGAGGTTCAAGGGCAGTTTCAAGGAGGTTAAGAGAGCATTGGGAGAAGGCTGAATTCATCACACCAAACACCATCTAAACCACTTGAATCGACTCATACATGCAAGAACGAGTTGTGAAGGGAAAGATTGTCCTAATGTGAAACCCAACTGAGCAGGAACATAATGTCAGAACTTATAGCTTACTTGTTTCTGTAGGCTATAGTGGGGTATCCCATAGGGGGTACAACCCAATTAGGGTTTCCTATTTGTACTCACTTCGTTCATAGTCATTCCATTCTCGTTCTTTGTTTCCACATGGAATCAGAGCAGGTTCCCTCCTAGGGACTGCTTCTAGGGCCCACCGAACCGCGCCCCGAGGCGCGTTTTTTTTAGCGACCCGTCGTGTCGCCCCTAGCGGACCGTTGCGCCGCCCTTCCCCTCGCGGCTCCGCCGCCCTTCCCTAGCGGCCCCGCCGCCCTTCGATCGCGGCCCCGCCGCCCTCTGCTACGCGGCCCCGCCGCCGCCCTTCGATCGCGGCCCCGCCGCCCTCGGCTACGCGGCCCCGCCGCCCTCTGCCTCGCGGCCCCGCCGCCCTCTGCTACGCGGCCCCGCCGCCCTCTGCTACGCGGCCCCGCCGCCCTCTGCTACGCGGCCCCGCCGCCCTTCGATAGCGGCCCCGCCGCCCTTTGCCACGCGGCCCCGCCGCCCTCTACTACGCGGCCCCGCCGCCCTCTGCTACGCGGCCCCGCCGCCCTTCGATCGCGGCCCCGCCGCCCTCTGCTACGCGGCCTCGCCGCCCTCTGCTACGCGGCCCCGCCGCCCCCTGCTACGCGGCCCCGCCGCTCTCTTCGGACGCGGCCCCGCCGCCCTCTGCTACGCGGCCTCGCCGCCCTCTGCTACGCGGCCTCGCCGCCCTCTGCTACGCGGCCCCGCCGCCCCCTGCTACGCGGCCCCGCCGCTCTCTTCGGTAGCGGCCCCGCCGCTCTCTTCGGTCGCGGCCCCGCCGCCACTCTGCTACGCGGCCCCGCCGATCCGCCCAGCAGCAGCCGCCGCCGCCTGAGCCGCCGCCGAGCCGCCGCCGAGCCGTCGCCGAGCCGCCGCCGAGCCGCCGCCGAGCCGCCGCCCGAGCCGCCGCCGAGCCGCCAGAGCCGCCGCCGAGCCGCCCGTGACGCCCGAGCCGCCCGCGCCGCCCAGCAGCAGCCGAGCCGCCGCCGAGCCGCCGCCGCCTGAGCCGCCGCCGAGCCGCCGCCGAGCCGCCGCCGAACCGCCGCCGAGCCGCCGCCCGAGCCGCCGCCGAGCCGCCCGCGCCGCCCGAGCCGCCTGCGGAGCCGTGCTGCTGTTCCTCTGCTGCTGACCTACCCGCCTCTCCCAGCCCGGTGAGATTTTCAGCTGCTGTCATGGCCACCCCCAATGTTCTTACCTTTGACGCTGAGGGGAGGGCCATTGACTTTGCCGTCTGGATTGAAGACCTGCAGCTGTACTTACTGTGTGATGCGATAGATGAGGTCTCTCTCTTTGACTTTGTCTCTGGCGCTGTCCCTGCCCCACCTGCTGATGCTGACTCTGCCGTTCGCTCCAAGTGGGCGACCCGCGATGCTGCTGCACGTCTTGCTGTGCGTCGCCACCTCCCTTCCTCTGAGCGTGCCCACTTTAGTCAGTGCAAGACCGCTCAGGCCTTGTACGACGCTGTAGTTGCACGCTACTCCTCCCCTTCCTCCGCTACCCTTAGCCGCCTCATGCTACCGTTTCTCTTCCCTGACCTCGCTTCCTTTCCCACTGTCGCTGACCTCGTTACCCACCTCCGTGCTAGTGACACCCGCTACCGCGCTGCCCTTCCTGCTGAGTTCCGCGCTGCGAACCCTCCTCCCATGTACATCACTCTCTACTTTCTCGTCACCCGTCTCCCTGAGTCCCTTCGTGTCGTTAGGGACCAGTTTCTCTCTGTCTGTCCCACCACTCTCACTGTCGACCTCCTTGAGGAGTCCCTGCTAGCGGCTGAGAAGAGTATTGTCGCTGTAGGGGCCTCTCGGGGTGACCCTCGCACCCCTATCTTTGAGGGGTGTGGTCCTTCCCCCCTGCTGCCCTCTGTCGCCTCTGCCGCTGCGGCCGACCTCACTGGTTTTGAGTCGGTCGGCGCGGCGTCTGCCCCCAGCGGCAGACGCCGCGCTGGCAAGGGCAAGGGGGGCAAGGGAGCGGGTGGAGCTAGAGGGGGCGGTGGAGGAGGCGGTGGGGGTGGCGGGGGGAGTGGGGGTGGCGGTGGGGGTGGTGGCGGGAGTGGAGGTACTGGTGGCGGCGGTGGAGGCGGAGGTGGCGGCGGAGGTGGTAGCGGAGGAGGCGGTGGGAGCGGTGGGAGCGACGGTCCTGGTGGGGGAGGTGGAGGTGGAGACGGGGGTGGCGGTGGAGGCGGGGGTGGCAGTGGAGGCGGGGGTCGGAGTGGCTCGTCCCAGCGGAGCAGCTCCGGGGGTGGTCAGCGCCAGCAGCAGCAGCAGCAGCAGCCGCAGCAGCAGCCACAGCAGCAGCAGCGCTCTCGCACCGTCCCCGCCCCTCAGCAGCTCCGTGAGTGGTACTCGCAGCGTCAGCGTGGTGGTGCGCTTGGTCCTTGCCCCTACGTTCTCCGCACCGGTGACCGTGCAGGGGAGAGGTGTGGAGGCGCCCACACTGCCCGCCGCTGCTTTGGCCGCCTGACTGACGCCTGGCGTCAGCAGTTTCCGGAGGCAGCTGAGATCCCCCGCTGGGGAGAGCTGTCTAGGGCTGGTGTAGCTATTTATGATCTTGATTTTGATGCTATTCTCTCTGCTATGTATGCTGCGATTGGTAGTGATGAGGATGACTGTTACCGGTGTTTCCCGCCCGACCCGGGCATTGGTACTGCCGCGTCAGGTACTAGTGAGGCTGCTGCTCTAGGTGCCAGTGCGTCTGTGCTCTCAGGTGCTGG